AAAAAAAAAAAAAAGAAAGAAAAGAAAAGAAAATAGATGGTAAGGAGCGTTCCCACTGGCTAGGATCCTTAGCGGCAAACACACTGCCTCTGCTTCTCCAGCCGGAAGGGGCCAGAGCTCTCAAGTACTGTCCCGCAGACCGCGGCGTCAGCAGCACCCGAGCACCTGTTAGGTGTGCGACTGTCTGGACACCCCCTGACCCCAGAATCAGGAACTGGGGGTGAGGCCCAGAAATCTGCATCCTAACAAGATTTCAGGTAGTTCTGATTACGCTAGAATTTAAGAACCAATCATGGGGCTGGGGATTTACCTCAGCGGCACAGCACCTGCCTGGCAAGAGGGAGGTCGTGAGTTCGATTCCTGGTAGGGGGGGCGCGGGGAGAACAAATTATGTAAGGGAGAGTTCATTGATACCTACCTGTGTGCTTATTCTGGCTCAGCCTAGCAACTAAATGATCAACCACAGCTGAATTCCCAACCCTCAAAACTTATTTTCTAGCTGGCCCTGGTGGTGCATACCTGTAATCCCAGCACTGGGGAGGCTGAAGCAGGAGGACTGCAGGGAGTTCAAGACTAGCCTGGGCTACATAGTGAGTTCAAGACCAGCCTGAATTAGAGTAAGGCCCTGTCTCAACAAAAGTAAAATAAAACAAACTCATTTTTTTTTCAGGGTATAACAAAGAATTGGAAAAATAAATAAATAAATAAATAAATAAATAAATAAATAAATAAATAAACCAAAGAATTGGAATAATACCTGAGGGTCCTTTTGGCCTGAACTCTGTAAACCGCCCAGGGGAAAAAAATAAGTAAATAAATATCTCAGTGAGTAGATTCATTCAACAAATATTTATGTGCTTTGCACAGAAGTACTTGTTGTCCCAGCACACAGCATGGTAGCACATATCTGTAATCCCAGCACTCTGAGAAGCAGAGAAAGTAGGTTTACAAATTCAAACCCACCCCGGACAATTTAGTGATTAACGCCTTGTCTCAAAATAAAAAATTAAACTGGGTGTGGTGGGACATGCCTGTAATCGCAGCATTTGGGAAGGTGAGATAGGAGGATTGCCTTGAGTTCAAGGCCAGCTGGGGCTAAATAGTAAGTCCAGACCAGCCTGAACTATGTAGTGAGGTTCTGTCTCTAAATAAATAAATTAAATTAAATTAAATCAAATTAAAAATTAGGGGGAAGAGGGGTTGAAGGGAGGGGAGGGAAATGGTAAAAAAAAAGAATCTAGATATATCATATATGGGTACAAATTCTATATGATAAATGTTTCACTGTGGATATCTAAAATGCACTAATAAAATTTATTTTATTTTTTGAGACAGGGTCTCACTATGTAGTTCAGCCTTGCCTTGAACTTGTTCATGTAGTCCAGGCTGCCCCTGAACTCAAGGGGATCCTCCTGCCTTAGCTTCCTTAGTGCTGGGATTAGAGGCATGTACCATCATGCCTGGCTAAAATTAATTTTGAAAAAAAATAAAAATAAAAAAATAGGCCTGGGAATGGAGCTCAGTGAGAAGACCCTGGTTCAATCCTTTTTAATTAAACAGGTTGCCAATACTTTAGACCACAAACTTTACCTGTCATCTGTCTGCAAGATTCTCATACTGTATTAGTCATGCATTGTGAACTGGAAAACTGAAGAAAAAAATCTGCCTCAAATGGTGGTGCACACCTGTAATCTCAGCACTTGGGAGGTTGAGATGGGAAGACTGCTGTGAGGCCAGCCTGGGCTACCGGAGAAAAACCAAAAAAAAAAAAAAAAAAAAAAAAAAAATCCAAAGAATTCTGACCACACTCCTGCTCCTAATTCTTTGACTTTAATTTTTTTAACACGTTCGTGTTTGTTTAAAGGGTTTCCATATTAATGTATTAGTAACTCAGCATATAAGGCTAGATGTGATTAACTATCAATTAAATTTTTTCTGGGCCTACATTATCTCACAACAGAATGCTACTTGCTTTTCTGGAAAATCTGTCTCCTCTTTGTTTCTTTTTCTCAGTAATTAGTTACTACAGGCACTGCTTGAATAAATTCCTATGACCCTCCTTGGCTTTGGGTTTTTTCAAAAATCTGCCTCCCTCTTCTACTGAACCCCTTTATACCCTACCACACAAACTTGGAGTCCTTGGTTCCTGTAATGTTTCAACTAGTGAGTTTAAATATCTAGGATAAACTGGGCTTGGTGGTACATGCCTGTAATCCCAGCACACAGGAGGCTGAAGCAGAAGGATCACGGTAAGTTTGAGGCTAGCCTGGGCTGCATTGTGAGTTCAAGACCAGCCTGAACTACACAGTGAGACCCTATTAAAAAAAAAAGAAAGAAAAAAGAAAGAAACTAAACTAACTAAATAAATATTTAGATTAGGCCCTTTTAAGAAAAGGTAGACAAAAAGTCCCCACACTTGAACGCTTTTGATTCTGACATTCACATTTCACTGCGTCTACAAGGACGGGAGATGGCGCCAGAAGGCAGTGGAATGTCTCGGTTTTAAGTAGGCTTTTAGCCAGCTCCAGGGTGAGTAAAGGGCTTGAGAGGTGGACCCACAACTCAAAGGTGCCAGAATTTGAGTAGAAATAAAGATGGAGCACCCTGAGAGCTTCTTGACACTTACTCCAAATCAGCATGGTTAGAAAGCAGCAGCAGAAATAGTCACGGGAAAGCCGAAGATTAAAATGAAGCCAAATCCGAGAGGACGACGCCCGCCACCCTTCTCCGTTTCTCCGGGACACGGGTGCCTTCGTCCGATCCGGGGCTCGAGCGCGGGGCAACGGCTCGCTCAGGGGTGGAAGGCGCTGGTTTGGGGCTGAGACATCTTCGTGAAATAATGGCCAATTGCGTCCTTCCCAGAACTAATCGCCCCCAAGACTTTGAATTTAAAATTCGCAGACAGGCCAGGAGGTGGCGCAGGCGAGACACACTTACCTGCCTCTGGGAAGTGGAATCTCAGCCCCAAACGCTCCGGGGACTCTGTCCTGACAGAGGTCACTCGCTCCAGACCTCCGCTCTCCTCCCAAGCTGCCTCTGCCTGCCTGCTTGCTTTGTTTTCTTTTCTCTTTATTTATTTTCCTGTGTTAACCATTCTGTTTCCAAGAAGTCTAATTTACACTTTACATCTTTTATTCTCTATAGGTGGGATGGATGGGGCTTTGGGGAAAACCTCAAAACAGAAACTTTTCCATAGAGAAAGAATAATTGAAGGGCGAAAAGGGCATAAATAGGGAAATGACAGCTACAAAATAGACTTGGGGATGAACCGCAGGGGCGGCGAGCTCCGGCGGGCAGGCGCGGAGGACCCGGCGCGTGCATTATTCTGTGTGTCTGGCTCGCCTCGCGCTCCCTCGTGCGGCTTCTGCGCCCTGCGTCCGGCCGATCTATGGTTATTTCTTGCTATTCCTTGCTGCTCGGCAGGCGCAAGGGGGCAGGGGCGCTCGGACGCGTAGTCCCCCGGCCAGAGGCTCCGGTGAGGGTTAGGGAGGAGAGAGGTTTCAGTGACTGACTGGAAATTATCTGCGGCCTCCCGCTCCCCGCTGAGGGATTTGGGACGAGCATTCCGATCGGGATTTCCCCCCGGGGGAGCGCGGCGCATTCCTGAGGCGGCGGCCTCCGCGCTCCGATGCGCCGCCCGGGAGCGGGCTGCGCCCAGCCTCCGCCGTCCCGCCCCGACCCTCGGTGGGCCGGAGGGGACCTGCGCCCCGCTCCTTCGGACCACGTGGTCTCGGCCCTTCCCTCGCGCTCTGGAGTCCGCCTTTTTCAGACGGCGGCAGGCGCGATTGTCCCCGCGGCCTCCTCCCGCGCCGGCCTCCCCGGAGGGGCCAGTGTCCTCGGTGACAAAAGCCGCCCTACATCGCAGCTCCCTGGGGAGCCCCTCCCCCGCCGGCACACAGACCGGCTTTATCCGCGGCGATCCGCCCCCCGCCCGGGCACGCGGACCCGCACCCCGCGGGAAGGGCGGCGACAGGCGCGGGGGAGCGATCGCTCGGGACGGGCTCTCCGCGCCTCACTTCTACTCCGCACCCCACATTTCGGACCTTGACTCTGCGCCCCCACCCGCACGCTGAGTTCCCGGCTCCCTCCTGTAATCTGTCGCCAAACGTTAGGCCCCCAACTCCAGGGCAGTTCACACCATCCCATCGGGCGGGCAAAGGAGAACACAGGGTCCCCTGGAGGGGCTGGGCTGGGCCCCAAGCCCTCCTGCCCTGCCCGCCTGCTCCAGGGGACACCATCCAGCCGGGTCCGCGAAGAGCTGAGCTGGGAAGCGCGCACCCCCGCTGGGCTCTGAGCCGCTCGCGCTCCGGGGAAGCTCGCGCTGTGCTCCGGCTCGAGCGGGGCCGTCCTGCGTGCCTAATCGGCTATTTAAGGAGCTGCCCGCCAGCAGCCGGGCACCCCCCCTCCCCTCGTGCACCCGTCCAGAGCCACCTTAAAAGCGGGAGGCAGTTGTGGAGCGGCTGGCTGGCGAGCCAGAGGAGTGAGACTGCAGAGGTAGATAAAGAGAGAGGGCAGAGAGAGGGAGCGGAGACAGAAGGGGTAGCGAGAGATTTATCTTGGAATCCAGAGAACCACGGTACCCGACTGAAAATCAAACTCTGCAGAGACAAAGATAGCAAGCGGAAAAGAAATAAACATACTTAAGGCCAGGAACCTCTCTATCCCTTACTCCCTCTCTCTGTCCTAGTCCTCTAGACCCCAAACTCCTGGCCCCGGGTCCTTTGCTGGGGATACCATGTTGTTCTTCGCCCTCCTGCTTGAGGTGACTTGGATCCTGGCTGCCGGCGGGGGTAGGTACAACTGGATGTCTGTGTGTCGGTCTGGGAGCAAGTCAGCATACTTGCTCCGGGTGGGTGGAGGGGCTGGAACAATGGGCTCCGGTGTGCGGGAGACTGCTCCCCTTCTTTTCCTTTTACCTTTCCAGCCTTGCTGTACTGGGGAGCTGAGCACAAGGTGTGTACACACACAAGGGCAGGAATCTCTTCGCAGGCTACAGATTCCAAAACTCTTTCCTCAAGGCCCTAGTCCCAGGCGACCCTCCTGGCTTTCTTTATTTATGAACTCTGTGATTACCCAGCCAAAGAGACCTGGAGTGATGGGATCAAGGGTGGGGGTGGGGGAATCCTACACCACAGCGGCCCTGGTCTCTGGCTGAACATCTCACCGCAGAGCTGACCCTTAACTCCATGGAGTAAGTCATTTCCCAATTTCCCCCCCTCAAAGCAACAGCAATAATACTCAACCTTTGTGCGGCCCTTTGCAGTTTACAAAGGACTTACAGGAGCGGGAGATAGGGGGTTCCTGGGAGACAGGCCCAGGTGCACCTCTCACCTAACAGGAAACACAGAAATAGCCCGGTGCAGTCTCTCTGGTAGCACACAGTAAGTGTGGAATTAGTTTCTCGGAAGAGCAAGGGGACAGGGTGTGTAGAAAGCGGGCAGAAGGCAGGAGGATGCTGGTGCGGCCAGATGGAGTCACATCTGAGGAGAAGGAAAGGAAAGAGGAGGAAAAGCTGTCGACTCAGCATGTCAGGGATTTGCTGAGAAGGGCACCTTCCCAGAGCAAGGGGGCTGGAGCTGTTGGGGGCCCCTCTGAGCTAGGAAATGCCAGCCCTCCCTTGGGCTGCTCCTGAGAGTTGTCTGGGCTAAGAACAGAGCAAGGATGAGATCCAAGACATCTTACCATAAGAAATTGGAGGGAATCACAGAACAGGGTAAAAAATTTAGGATTTCTTTCCAGAGTTTTTGGCAATTTAAATATTGCAGTGAAAATTAACAAGGCTTCTCTCTTCTCCCTGAAGCAGCTTGGGTCTGGGTGGGGGGCCAGACCAGCAGACCCTCAGCATTTCAGCCAGAGGCAGGATGGCACGAGAGCCTGGCATGTGACCCAGCTGGCAGCTCTGCTTGCTACACACAATGCTTCACTTTCATCCTGTCCCTGCCAGCCTGGCTGCCTGTGCCCACCCACCACCCTCAACCTAGTGTAGACTCTGCCCTGACTCCTGTCCTTTCCAGAGCTATTGGGGATATGGGGAGCAGAGGCTCCTGAGGTGGGGAGTTTCCTCTAGAGCTAGTGGGACCAAAAAGGAAGAATTTAAATATTAATTTGCAGCTCAGTGCTATCCTTCAAGCAGTGCTCCCGGGCACAGGAATAACCCCTTGTGCCACAGCAGCGGTCGCAGCAGCAGTGCTCGCTCACAGGCTCCGAATGTCTTCCCTCCTCTCTGGTCCCTTCCTTTCAAACCCTCTACCCAGTCACCCCACCCCACCTGAGTCTGCTAAGTGCCCGAGTGACTTGGCCCAGACTAGAGAAAGGTTAAGTGTTGGCCAAACTGCACACTTGGGTCCTGGTTAATTTTAGTCTCCAGGCTTTATCTCTTCATTGCTCCTCCCCCTTTACTCCGCAGGCCCAAGCACAGCCTGGCTGCCAATCTTAAATAGGCCCCCGGACCTTTCCACCAAGGTGTCCAGTTTCAGGGCTTCCTTCGGGAAGTGCTGAGGGGGGGCAGGTGGAGGGTGCAAGGGGGGCAGAGTGGAGGCAGGGCTGGCCCTGCCACTGGCTGTAACCCAAACTGCTCTGCCTTGCAGGCCACCACTGGACATACGAAGGTGAGAGCAGAACTCCATCCTGCCGACACCCCATCTCTGCGACTCCTGCTTGGCTTCCCCTGTGGGTGGGAAGGTTTCCTTTAGCTCTGAGCTCTACCACCTCCCTTCGCTCTCTGTGCCCGAGTTTTGCCTATGTGACTCCTAGACCCCGTTCTAATCATTAAATCCCACACCTCCTGATTCAGCATAAAAGCCAATTGAGTCCCCAGTAAATCCATGTGGGAGTGAGGGAGATGGAGTGGAAAGAGAACTGGGTGGGCGATGAGCTCTGGCTGCCTTTTCCCTTTCTCTACCCTAACCCTCCCAGCCCCTAACCCACCTCTGGAGCTGGGCCAGGGCTTGAGGTCAGAGGTGAGGAAGAGACTGGTGGGAGAGTTTGCGACCTTGGGGCAGGTGGAACTCAATCCATTTGAGCTTCTGATTAATGACTACACTGAATTCCAGAGTCAATAACAAGGTTCAGTGTGAGAACAAGAAGTGAATGGCGGAAAGTCAGGGCCCCTGAATTGCAATGCCTGGTGATAGGGAGCCCCGCGGAGACCCTATCTCTCTAGGATCACTGATTTCTTCCCACTTGATTACTCCTACTCTCTAATCCTACCTCTCTGGATATTCAGGCTTTCTATCCATCTCTTCTTCCCCTCATTCAACTTTCTTGTCCTCAAACTACAGGTAAGTAAAAGGGCTACCACTGCCCATTTCTCAGGGTCGCTGGGAACCATCCCTGCCTTGGTAGGTCAGGGGAACTGCAGCATGAGGTCTAGTGGGTCTGACTTCACCGGCCCTGCCCAGCTGGGTGGATGGAAGTGCATTTTACCTCCATACAGATGGGCTACTTGGTGGAGGCTGTTGAAGGGTGGCTGAGGCTTCAGGGCAGAACAAATATCCGTGGTAACCCCCACCAGGCCCTCATGGTCAGGAGCACTGGCCAGCCTCTTACCCAGAGTGTGGAAGCGATGCCCAGTCCCCCATTGATATCCAGACAGACAGTGTGACATTCGACCCTGAGCTGCCTGCTCTACAGCTCCATGGATACAACCAGCCTGGCCCCGAGCCTTTGGACCTACATAATAATGGCCACACAGGTAAAAAACAAAACAAAAAAGCCCAGGCTCCAGGGGGTTGTGGGCTCTAGTTCAAACCTTAGGAGTCAGGAGGAAAATATTCTCAAAAGTTGTGGATTCTTAGAAAGCTCCATCCGTCAATTTGGAAGTGTGAGAATGGGCATCAGGCTCCTGTAGCCAAGGAGGGGACCGAATGTCTACAATCAGGCTCGATGGACAGCTAGTGCTGTAACAGACTTGACCATCACTGAAGACAGGGAGCTCTGCTAGCAAAGCACAGTCACAGGAGGAGCCAGGCCACTGGGGAAGGAAGAAGGAAGCCGAGGGCCAAGTTTCCAAGAAGAGGTGGCAGCTATGGCGGAAATGGCCCTCACCTCCCACCAACTCCAGCTTGTTCTTTTCCTCACAGTGCAGCTCTCTCTGCCCGCCAGCCTGTACCTGGGCGGGCTGCCCCGAAAATATGTAGCTGCCCAGCTCCACCTGCACTGGGGTCAGAAAGGATCCCCAGGGGGGTCAGAGCACCAGATCAACAGTGAAGCCACAGCTGCGGAGGTACCTGGGAACAAAGGGCTTAGACCAGGACACAGACAACACAGGGAAAGGATCTTGGGGAAAAAGTCATCCTGGGGGTTAAGACCTAGCTTTGGGAGACAGCCTTACAGCATGCTGGGCTCACGGTGGTGGCTGGGTCAAGGCCTTGCAGGGGTGGGGAAACATTCAATGACTTGCTTCCCCTCTCTTTTTCCCTCAGCTCCACATTGTTCATTATGACTCTGATTTCTATAGCAGCTTGAGTGAGGCTGCCCAGAGGCCTCAGGGGCTGGCTGTCCTGGGCATCCTAATTGAGGTCAGTGGCCTCCAATTGCTCCCAGCCTCCAATTGTCCACTTTCTCTGCATCTCCTAGAGCTATTCTGCTGCCCTCCTCCTTCCTAAAACGGGCAGCAACCCACCCTAACCAGTTATCCTGTGCATGAACGTCTTCCTCCTTTCGTCTCCCTCCAGGTGGGTGAGGCTGAGAATCCAGCCTATGAACACATTTTGAGTCATTTGCATGAAATAAGCCATAAAGGTGAGCCCTAAAAATCTATAGTAAGAGGAAGTCAATTAGACTTTTTAAAAAATTTGTATTTTTTTTGGTCTTTTTGAGACAGGGTCTCGCTATGCAGTTCAGGCTGGCCTTGAGCTCACTTTGTAGCCCAGGCTGGTCTCGAACTCCCAACGATCCTCCTGCCTCAGCCTCCCGGAGTTTTGGGTTTACAGGGGTGCACCACCACGTCCGGTGGCTAGACTTTAGGGAAACTCAAAAACTGACCTTGCCGATGGCACACACCTATCAAGTCAGCACTGGGGAAGCTGAGGCAGGAAGATCACCATAAGTTTGAGGCCAACCTAGGCTACATAGTGAGTTCAAGATCAGCCTGAACTATACACTGAGACCCTCTCTCAAAGAAACAAAAACTGACCTAAAGCCAAGCATAGTGGCACATGCCTGTAACCCTAGCACTCTGGGAGGCTGAGGCAAGAGGTCCACAAGCCCAAGCCCAACCTGGGTGACTTAGCAAGACCCTACCTCAAAATAAAAAGTTTTTTAAAAAGGCCAAGGATGTTGCTTAAAGTCTTGGGTTTGATTCCCAGTGCGCCCACCAAAAAAACAACACCCTGATCTACAAAGCTTGGGGAGAAAGCAATAAACGATGGCCAGTGGTTTTGCTTCAGGGAATTACATCTAGGTAAGCAGCTAGAGTGTAAAGAGGGAAGAGATCAGTCCTAGTCTGTTGTCCCCAGATCAGAAGACTACAGTGCCTCCCTTCAGTGTGAGAGAGCTGCTCCCCTCCCAGCTGGAGCAGTTCTACCGCTACAATGGCTCGCTCACCACTCCCCCCTGCTACCAGAACGTGCTCTGGACAGTCTTCTATAGAAGGGCCCAGATTTCAGTGGGACAGGTGAGTGGCGGGGTGGTTGTGACATCAGACCCTTTCCCATCCCCCAAAGTGACTTTCTCACTCTTCTGCTTAGCTGGAAAGGCTTCAGCAGACACTGTTCTCCACAGAAGAGGAGCCCTCTGAGGCCCTTGTCCAGAACTACAGAACCCCTCAGCCTCTCAACCAGCGGACTGTCTTTGCTTCTTTCATCCAAGGTGACTGTACAGGGCTCAGAAGTGATGGGAAAGCCAGGGACTCAATGGCAGGAACGAGCGAGCCCCTAGGAGGGAAGGGATATCCAGCTCTTACGTGGACTGGGAACCAGCCCCAGCCCTGCATGCTCAGGTCCAAGCAGCATGCTCTTCCCAGATGGGATGGGATCTGAAGCCCCACTCATCCACGTTTTCTTCCCCTACAGCGGGACCCACGTACACAACAGGTAAGACAGCCCTTAGGCAGGGGCATGGGTCCCTCAGCTAGTGGGTGAGAGGCCCAAGGCCTGTGTTAGCCCGAGACTGACACCTTCCATCATTATCTCCCCCAGGTGAAATGCTGAGTCTAGCTGTGGGAATCTTGCTAGGCTGTCTCTGCCTTCTGCTGGCGGTTTACTTCATCGCTAGAAAGATTCGGTGAGGTTCTACCTTCCATTCCTGCAGTTCTTTTCTATTAGAGAATATTCTCCTAGCCCATCCCTAATCTGCTTCACTACTCACTCCTGTACTAATCCCCTTTCCAGGAAGAAGAGGCTAGGAAACCGGAAAAGTGTGGTCTTCACCTCAGCTCGAGCCACCACGGAGACATAAACTCCCCTTCAGACGTCATGGAAACTTCCCCTTACTTATCAGGGAGTCTCCAAGTGGGGTGCAGAGACTGGCCAGAAAATACTGTTAGCAGTAGTAGGCAGACATCCCTCCTTCGTCTGGACATTTCCCCACAGAGAGGTAAGACCCCTAGTTTTCCTTCGAGGAAGAACAGCAGAGCTTCAGTTTCTCAAAACACGTAGGTGGTCAGGGACCCGTGTGTATTAATGCAGAGGGCAAGCTATTTTCGTTTAGTTGTTGAAGTTGGGAAGGTACCCCAAAGTCCCCCATTCTTCACCTTTATATCCCTTCCCTAGGTATAGTGCAGGATCTCCCCTTAGGAAAAAGGGCTGCTGCTGGGATTATATTTTTTTGCTCAATATATTTGAAAATTAAAGTTTCTGACCTTTACTCTGGCCTATCTTTTGAGGGTAAGAGTTCCTTAATCTCTCAGGTGCTAGAGACGAACAAAGGAGAGAGAAAAAGAAGCACAGTGATTAACTCCTTTCCCCACTCCTGAAAAGGGAGAGCCACATCTGGGAAATACTTAAAAGTGCCTGACATGTTAAACCACCAACCCCGATTTGCCCTGGCACCAAAGCTCTGCTTGCATATCAGTGGTTGCCAGGTAAGGAAGGAGGAGGAACAAGAGCCATGGCAGAGCGGAAATCTCAAAGAACATGTTAACCCCTTCCTTAAAACCAAGTCCCCCCACAATTATAAAGTCCGTTTTATTAGTCAAAATCACAATCACCTTGATTAAAAGGATGGGACACTCCACCCTGGCAAAATGACACAGTTTATAGAAAACCTCCCTAGCCCCCCACCCCACCCCAATTAAAAACTAGAAAAAATCTGCCCTCCTTCCCTGTGATGCCACAGCAGCCTGACCCCTCCAGGGGCACCGGGGCTGTGGAGTGGGCCAGCTCCCCCAGCACCCTCCACTTCACCTTGGGGAGAGAAGGGACGCTGGTGGTCAAGGAGGTTACAACCATTACTTCCAGTAATACCAGTTCCCAAACATGCACTTCCTTCCTTCCTCCCAGGGCCTGGGACTGAGAGGAAAAGGGATAGAAATAAGCCCAGCCATGAGGAACAATATAAGGAGGGAAAATATAGCCCAAGGAGGTTAGAAGAGTTTCAGCATACCTCCTCCCCCCACTTAAAAAATAAAAGGCAGTTGAGGTCTTTATCATACCAGAACTGGTTTCCTTCAGACCTGAGAAAAAGACCAGGACATCCCATTTGGGGAGAGGGAACTGGAAAACTCAGAGTTCATCTACCCATGAGCTTCCGTTCATTTCATCTCCAGGACAATGGCTAAACTAGGTCCCTTTTCTTGGCAACCTGCACTGTCCCGAACTGGAGATGGAGAAATACAGGGCGAGGAGGAGGGCACCCCAGGCCCAGGGGTCCCCCCCAGGTTCCCTCAGTCCTCGGGTGGGATGCGCAGGGCAGAATACACCATCACCCGACTGTCCTCCTGCCGGCGGCCTGCAGAGGGGAAGCGGGGTGAGTCATGGGCGGGGTGAGGGCAGAGCACCGACACACAGGGAATCCTGGACAACAAGGGGTCCCCAGGTGTGGGGTAAGTGAGGATTCAAACCCACCAGTCACTGACTGGTAACACTAAGATGCCAAAGGTCACAAATGGACAAAGCAAAACCCTGAAGGTGGCAGGACAGAACAACGAGACGGAGCATGTGGGAAATGGACCGGGCTGGGGCTGGGTTCAGTCACGGGCAGTGGGCAGGCAGGTGGGATCTGTCAGGCGATCAGTCCAGGTAGTCAGTCCTTACACGAGAGGCTGCGCTGGATACTTCGGAGGGACCCTCCCGCTGTGATGAAGGCCCAGAGTCCCATGGAAACAGTGACTGCATAGATGGGCAGCAGGCTGGCTTCATACCATGGGTTCAAGAATGTCTGGGAATGAGAGGAACCGTCGAAAAGAGGTTAGATTCTCCCTCTACCTAATCCCCACATTTCTTTGTGCCTCTGACCCAAAACTTGCCCAGGGATATCACCCAATTCCCCAGTCTTTCCCTCCAGAGGACCAGTACCTTGTGGTTAAGTAGACTTGATTTTCAACTCCCTCAAAGGCTTCTGCCACTCCTGCTCACCTCATGCCCTCACACTGCAGTTTAACCAATCCATTTGAGTGCCCCGAGTACCCCCAAAGCAGCTGATACAACTGATACTGAGATGACAGACCTCTCGACATCTTTCTGCCTCCACCCAAGATAAATGTTAAGAAGATACCCCCATCCCACTCACCATTAGAGGCTTTTCTCCCTAACTCAGGCCCCTATCTCCAACTCACCAGTCCTGATGTCAGTAGGTGACTCCCAACCACCAGGCCCAAAGCCCAGTACCGTCTCCTCTCACAGGCATCAAAGAACACAACTCCCCAAAAGGTATGGAGCAGGATAATGGCTGCTGTCAGAAAGGCTGCAGGGAGGGAGATGGGGATGAGATACATCCCTGATCTTCTCCCAGCCTCCTGAGATGTTGAGCCAAAGAAGTCTCCCAGGGAAGGCCAATAATCAGATCAGGGCCAGGGATGAATAGGGTATGAAGGCAAGATAGGAAGTGAGCCTTACCTGAAGTCAGGAAGTAATAGGGTGAGTCTCCATGGATCCCAACCACACCTGGCCCAAGTGCATCGGCCAAAATATTGATAACAGAGAAGACACCACTGATGATACCGAAGGAGAGACCAGAAACTGGGGGGAGGGAGGGTCTTGTCAATGTCAGAGCTCACTATTGCCTCTTCACCAATGACCCTTCCCATTCCCAGTAACAATTCTCCCACACCTACTCTCCCTCCAGACCACCTCTCCTTGGAAGTGAGGTATGAAGCAAAACAAGACACAACTTAGAACATGTGGATTATTTAGAGATTTCCCTGGGGAGGGGCCTGTCCAACTCCCTCCTCCAGTCCCTCTCCCTTGGCTCACCATAGGCCATCTGTCGGATGGAGATGGGTGATCTTCCGTCCTCACTCAGCGATGCTAACCCCTCATCTGCCTTCCTGGGGTGGGGTGGGGCAGGGAAAACATGAAGGCGGGCTGGGATGGCCCTTTCCCTCTAACGTCCTCCCTTACCCCCTCCTTCCAAACCACCACCCAGAGGCTGCCCCTCTCCCCTCCAGATCTCCCCATCTTCTTACTTAAGCAGCTTGTAGTAGGCAAAGCGGAACACCTCCTGTAGAAGGACAGACACAGCAGCACCAAAAATCAGGAGGCCATACTGGAGCCGGGCATCGGACCGGTCTGTCACATGGACCAAGATGAACCAGACTACAGAAGCCAGAAGCAGGGATACCAGCCAGAAAAATGCCCTGAGAGAAAAGATAAAAGCAATGAGGCAAGAAGGGTAAGAGGCACGCAGAGAAATCGGGGATGGGGGTGGGGGTGGGGGGCCAGCCAAGGCTAGAGCATGAAAAGTGGTAGACTTCCGGATAGTGATGGAGACAGGGATCACATAGGGTAGGCAACTCATAAGAATCTGGACACAGAGGAAGGGAAATCTGATTAGAGATGACAGTCAGGGTGTGAGGGCACTGCAGGGCGAGGTACCCATTCCTGGATCCTCCCTCAGAGCTCGGCCGGCCCAGGCCAACCCAGCCCCCTCCCGAGTCTCGGCCTCGGGCCTCCTCTGACGTTGGGAGGCGTGTAGGAGGAATCTGTGCGTCCCTGCAAGGCGGAAACCAACTGCGGGAAAAGGCAAATCATCCAGATCTCAAACCCAACCCTGTCCAACCTACGTATCCACTTAATTCCACCAACTCAGTCTCCCAGGCTCGCCTCAGTTCCTCCAACCCCTTCCGCGTCTCTGTCTCTCCACGCTCTCCCACCTCTCTACGACCTCCTACTCACCCCGCGACCAAGATGATAACGCGAAGGGGGTCCCCAGCCACCGTGATCAAGAACAGCGCAAAGGCTGGGCCAAACGCGACGAAAGTGCATCCGAAAAACACTGCAGCTCCCATGGCGGGGCAGCTGGGGAAAGGGTTGGAACCCCGGCCAAGGGAGGCAGACGAAAGGTGTGCGCCAGTTAAGGAGTTCGTGTGGGGGTGGCGGCGCGACCCCCACAAGGGGCGCGGTGCAATGTCACCCCCGAACCCCAGGGAAGGGGGGGGCACCGCAACCCCAGGCGAAGGTCCGGCTGACTTCGTCTACGGAAGCCGAGAAAAGGACAAACCTGGGCCTCAGCCCCATGGCCACCTCCCATCTAATCCCCACCCGGAAAACCAATGAGGAATCAGCGGGGACGAAGCTGCAGGGCAGGGGCGTGGCTGCGCGACCTGCTGGGAGTTGTAGTCTCCAGTCATCCGAGGCTTCGACCTTGTCCTGGGAGTGGCTCGAACTATTCAAAGGGAAGGAGTGGAGCCTGATCCTTGTGGAGGCACGGATTCATGGGTTCTGTTGCACCTTGGCCATGGTTTGTGGGGAAGAACGATAACAATCTTCTTCTTTTCTTTTTTTTTTTTTTAGACAAGGTCACGCTAAAATGCTAAATAGTCCAAGATGGGTGAGAACATGGGGTCCTCCTGCCTCAACTCCCAGAGTGCTGGGGTTACAGGAGTGGGCCACCACGCTGGGCTACCCTATCTCTTCTTAAAGGGCTGCAGAGAGGAAAGATCCAGTTTGAACCTAAGAGATAATACAAAGAGCACAGGACAGAGGGCGCAGGGAGATAGGGACGGGCATTGTTCTCACTTGAATGAAAGGAAATGGGCTGGAGCTGCTGCCTAAGGGATAAAAGATACAAAAGTAGAAACTCTTTGGACAGGCTACTACCGGAGACACAGAATGCCTTATTTCGCTAGTACACCCGTCAACTGTGATCTGCAATGACAAAATAAGAGAAAAGCCGAAGGAGCCCGGGGAGAAATGTTAGGAAGTTTAGAAGGAATTCATAAGTTTGAAAAGTAATTAAGAGTGTTGAGGCTGAAGGAAAATGACGTGCATCCCCACCACCACATCCGCTACCAGTCAGTTCCGTTTACAGCATACTTCCTCTATATATTTTCTAAAAAATGAAGAGAAAAACAAAATAAAACAAAACAAAAAATAAATAAAAAATGAAGAAAGCAAGCAAGCTAAAGAGAGGTTTGTCTTTGGGGAGAATGTTTAAGCAAAGGAGTCAGGATGGGAAAGTGAGCAATCTCGAACACTGTTTTCTTTTTTTTTTTTTTACTTTTTTGAGACAAGGTCTCCTTATGCAGGTCAGGCTGGCCTTGAGCTCACTTTGCAGCCCAGCTGGTCTCAAACTCGCAAAGATCTTCTTGCCTCAGCCTCCCAAGTGCAGTATTGTTTTTCATAGTCTATTCAAAGTACCAAAAAACTATAGAAACTGAAAAGAACCACATTCCTGGAGGTGACTTATGATTCAGTGAATATATTTGCATTCACCTAGGTGTTTTACATGTTGTTCAGGAAATTCTGGAAAGGGGTTGAGGAACTGATTCACATAGTCACCAAGGATATCTTTCCCTCATAAGGTTGAATGGGCTGCAGCATCATGGGTAGCGCTCAAGACATCAATATGTCCTGCTTCTGAGCCCAGCAGTGAAGAAATAGGAGCAAGATAACTCTCCTTACCTCTCCTGTGGGCTATAGGCGCAGCATCTCCTGACAGTTCAGAGCATGTTCTTGTTCATGGGTGGTTCCACACAGATTGCATTGTGCCTGGCTCACAGTAGATGTAGAGCAGATATTCATCAACTCCATTTCAAAACAAAACAAAAAACTGTTCTTTTCTTATCCTCCTGCTCATGAGCTCTGAATTGCAGACTAGACCTAGTTCACTGTACCTAGCACATATGTTACTATTTCTGAATTGAATCAATTAAAAACAGGAAATAAATAAACAGACAGAGGCCTGCCTGGCAAGCTAGAGGTTGTGAATTCAATTCCTAGTACCAAAAAAAAGAAAAAAAAAGCAGACAGAAAGATGAGAACTCTATTACTGCAGACCTCAATGAAAGGAATGTGACAAGGAGGGCACTGCATAGGACAGAGGAAAAAGACTCAGACCTACTTCCTCCCTTCTTCTTTTCTGTGTCCAGGACATTGAGAACAAGGTGAAGTGAGGTCAGCACTGCACAGAGAGGAAATCCCTAGCCTTGGCTGAGATTTTCAACAAAAGCAACACAGCAGATGTTTTGAAATTTGAACAATGATGGGTAAATACTTCTCCCATCCCCCACAGCCCAGATGGGCTGTTTTCAGTCTAGAAAAAATGTCCACTTCTTCCTCTGAACATTTTCTTGGTGGTGAAAGAGATTATGATTAAGCAGCTAAGAGAAAGGCAACTCTGAATGGCGATGGAGAGTGGGGCCAGCAAGAGGGAGGGTGGGGTTTCAGCAAGGACTGGGATGGGAAAGGGAAAAGGAGAGGGAGCTTATTGGTGGGCTTCCCTTTGGTGGTAGCAGTGGGTGTCCTTCCCCGGCCTAATCTAAGGCTGGAGGAGCTCGATGAAGCACTGTGCACCCAAATCCACTTCTACTTCTCAGAACTTGAGCAGCGCAAGCTGAGGACCGGTAGCGACCAAAGATGTGGGCAGCAAGTAGGCGGGGAATCCCGCCCCAGTGAGAGGAGCCCCTGCAGCTCCCTCCCAGCCTGGGCCAGTGCGGGAGGCGGGGAAAGTTTGGTGGGAAACAGTGTAACTTCCTTTTTACTTCCACAGCGCCCAGGCAAACTCCAGAATGGATGTCCTCCTCACAGCCATCCTTGTTGTGCCACTTGTCTTGGGTAAGTCCACTTTTCCCTTGAGCTTCTGCCCCAGGTCCTCTTCAGGATAGCAGAGAAAGAACAATGAGAGCGTGTGAGGTGCATTTCAATAGGGAGTAAGCTATTTCTCCTCTGTGCTGGAGTCCAGTGCAGGGGCAGGGAGATCTGGAAGGTAGAGTCCCGGCAGCGTGGAGATGTCTTACAGAGGAGTAGACCCAGACAGAGGAGATCCTTTAGCAAGGGGAAACTCGAGGGTTCATCACCTGGAAGCTGAATGACGGAGGGATGAACGTGAGAGTAGGGAAGAGGTGGATAGACCTTTGAAGCTCAGTGGTCTGAAAGTAGTGAAGGAAGCTAGAGTATTGCCTTTCCCCGAGAGCAGGAGAAAAACCCTCTCTAAAAGACAGAGATGTGGGCTGACCTTTAGGGTAGGGGAAAACTGGCTGCCTCCAGGGGCAGGGTCCCAAGGGTAGCTTGGCTCCTTCCCTTGCTTTGTTTCCCCATCTGGCAGGTGTGTCTCATTGTTTCCCGACACCCCCTCCACCACCACCACCAGATCCTTGTGTCATTAGCTTAGGAGAGGGAAAGCTGGCAAGGAGCTCAGAGAAGTGATTAGCAGGAAGCCTCGAGTTCTTGATTCAGTCATGAAAGCTGCATATTTTTAGTTTCGGAAAGAACCGAAAACAGCCATTCGCAGTGGTGCACGCCTGTGATCCCAGCACTCAGTAGGTTGAGGCAGGAAGACTGTCTTGAGTTTGAGAGCCTGTCTTTAAAAAACCCAAATAAATAAATATAAAACAAAACAAAAAAACTAACAGAGATGGGGCATTTAATCTGGTTGAATCATTAAGCAAATGTTAAATAGCTTCTTCAAGGTTATTCTGCTAAGTAGCAGTGAAATTGGAACCAAAATCCAAATCTAAGCGAGATGCTGGTAAGACCAGCCGTCCCTCAAACACAGTACATTCTGGGGCATACTGGGCACAAGCTTCATGTCTTTTCATTTCTAGTCTCTGTCTCTTTATCTTTTTTAGGTTTAATTATTTTTTCTTGCTTTTTTATTTTAAAGATAAAAGGAAGAAAACATCTTAACGAACACACATTTAGAAAATAACACAAAAACAATACAAGCAACACAGAACTTCAGACAAGGTGATAGGAAATTAACAATGGTTGTTGTATTACATATTGATATCTTCAATTTGGATACTCAGATAAACAAATATAGAAAAGTAAGATTGATCCTACACTTAAACATTAACTGTTCCTTTCAATAGAGCAATAAAAGTCAATAGTACCACTATGCTATCCTGTGTATATATATATATATATATTTCCCCTTCTTTCTTTTCTCTTTTCCCTTATCCCAGTTGTTCTTTCCTTTTGAGCAGTTTCCTTCCCTTTCACAATGAGACCATACTTACAAGTGAAATAAATCAGACCTGCCTGTGTAAACACCGTATTGTCTCACTAGTGTAAGAACCTGGAAGAGTGAATAAAATCTAGGAGGTACAATAGACGCTATGAAAGGTTAAATTCTCTTTTTGACTTTATAGTATGTGCTTTCTGCCCGAGGAGCTCCTGGACTGAACAAGCACAGAGCAGCCAGGCCTGGTGGCACAGGCCTGTAATCTCAGCGCTCTGGGAGACTGAGGCAAGAGGAGTTCAAGTTCAAGCCCAGTCTGGGAAATTTAGCAACTTAGCCTGATCCTGTGTCAAACCAGAAGTAATAGAGGTCTGGGGGTTGTAGCTCGGTGTGAAGGCTGGGGGCTCAATCCTCAGTACATACCAAGAAAGGAAGGAAGGCCAAGCACAGAATGGCAGGCCTCATTACAAACACGGAGCCCAGAAGACTAAGGAGCATTCAAGGGGGAAGGCAGGGGGATAATCCGTCACTGGGAAGGGTCGCAGACAGAAGGAAAACTGGTACAGCTGGACCCAGGTTCTGTTCCATGGTGGTCCAGATGCCTCCTGACCTATAGTCCTTGTCCCCCCAGGTCAAGAATATGATGAAGAAGAACTGGCACAGGAGGATTATTATCAGGTGATTTATTATTACACAGTCACCCCGACTTATGGTGAGTATGCACCAACCCTTAGCTGAGTGGAGAGGGGCTATACAACTACTTAGTTCTAAAATTGCCTTTCATACAGCAAGTGGGTCAGAAATTTGGCTGCGAACAAAAACTCAAGACTCTTGATGCTATTTTTCAAGCTAGTGAACTTTAATTCTTGGGAAAATGGCTGAAACAATTTGGAAGTTTTCATACTGGTAAATTATTTAGAAACCAAATGGACAATATAAATACACACACACACACACACACATATTCATTCAAATATTTTTAACGTTGAAGTTAATTAGGAGTGGATTATACCAATAAATTTTTAACTTGATCAAGTTGAAATATTCTGAGCAATTTCTTTCCATTTCATTTCTGGATCTAAAGTTCTCTTTCTCCTTTGCTACTATTTATTGTTTTTGTTTTGTTTTTTGAGACAGGGTCTCACTGTGTTGTTCAGACTGGACTTGAGCTCACTATGTAGACCAGGCTGGCCTCGAACTCATAGTGATCTTTCTGCTTCAGCCTCCCAAGTGCTAGGATCACAGGCATGGGCCACCACATCCAGCTGTTACTATTTATTTTTTTCTCCTTCCCAGATGACTTTAATGCAAATTTCACCATTGATTACTCCATTTTTGAGTCAGAGGACAGGTTGGTAAGTGACCTGTATATCTAAGAGGGTCAAGGTAAATAACAGTTAAAAGAAAAAACTGGGCAATGTTGAAATGTAACTGATTAGCAAGAATGAAAATTAGGTGGGTGGACAAAAACTAGGAAGTGATTCCCAGACAGGGGTGAGGGTGGTTGGGGGATGGGGGGCTGGTGAAGGGGAGAAGAACTTGAGATGGAAAATCTATGAGCATGTTGAAAGAAGAGGGTAACTCTGTTTCCCAATCCTGGTGACAGCAGGACAAAGAGGTAACAACAGCAGCAGTAGAGACCACCATTAGTCTTCAAGCCCGACCTGAGGACAATGAGAAGCCTGTAACCACGAAACCAGTGACAATGGAAACAGTGAGTTGAACGGAGACAGGGAGGAGGGGACGAGACATCTCTAACCCAGACAGATCTCAGCACTGCTGATGTGGCATAACGGAGGGCTGGAAGACCAGGATGGATGGGGGCAAATAACTAGTACTGTAGTCCAAGTATTCATCTCAAGTTGGCCATCATCTTTCACTGATATCTAATACTAACCCTGTATGCAAAACGCTGGGAGTTGGGGAAGGTGGTACATGGCTGTAAGCCCAAAACTTGGGACACTGAGGCAGGAATATTTCAAGTTCAGGGTCAGCCTGGGCTACATAGTAAGACCCTGTCTCAAAAACAAAAACTACTAGAAAAATTTGGTGCCACTGAATTACAGTCCAACAGTACTTAATATTTATGTAATCTCTGTCTAAAACTTCTGAGGATGCTGACGAGAAAAAGATCTTAGATGTTATTAGTGCCCTCAAGGGATTTATAAAACTCACAAAATAAAAGGCATGTTACAATGTTAGGTTACATATACTAGGTTATATAAGTTTGAGAGCATAAGCAAGTGCACTAGCCAGCACAGCGAGAGAAAGCTGTATAGGGTAGCGCTGCCTGGAAGGTTTTAGGAGGTGATTGTGCTTCTCTTCCTCCACCCCATACTAGGAACAAACACAGGGCCTTCTCACTGAGCTAGATCCCAGCCTTTCTTTTGAGACAGGATCATGCTAAGTTTCCAAGTTGCCCAGGTTGGGCTAATGCTTGCCATCTACCTGCCTTGTCTCCCCAGTGCTGGGATTATAGGCCTATAGGACATGGGTTGCAGATTGCCTTCATTGTGCTTTGTATACAATTTGAAAAATAGGTGAGCTTTTTTTTCTTTAGTTTTAGTTCTTTAAGACAGGTCTCACTATATAGCCCAGGCTGGCCTCAAACTCACAGTGATCCTCCTGCCTCAGCCTCCCAAGTGCTAGGATTACAGGCAAGCACCACCATGCCCAGCCAGGTGAAATTTTGATTAGCAGGAAATTATAAGAAGCTGAACCCAATCAAGAGGAAGAAGCTGGGCATGGTGGCGCACGCCTCTAATTCCGCCACTGAGGAGGCTGAGGCAGGAGGACCACTGCAAGTTTGAGACCACCTAGGCTACAAAGTGAGCTCAAGACCAGCCTGAACTGCATAGTGAGACCCTGTCTCAAAAAGACAAAAAAAAAGAAGCAGCAGCAGAATGGTATAGGAATGTAAGAGTCGCACAGGTGTGGGCAATAGAACAAGCATAACATGGGTTAGTGGATGGGGTACGACTGAAGGAGACTACAGAGAACAGTAGAAAAAAGAAAACATACAGGGCTTCTAGTGTTTGGATAGAAATTTCACATATGGCAGACAGGGCTCAAAAAACAAAATAAAAGATGGCACTAAAAAACTGGGTAGTGGCACAACATGCCTGTAATCCCAGCATTTAGGAAGCTGAGGCAGGAAGATCACCGTGAGTTCAAGGACAGCTTGAGTTACATTGTGAGACCTTGCCTCAAAAAAAGGGAGGGGTGGTGGGGACTAAACTATATAAGTCTGAAATGCTAGGCTGGAGTTTGTACTTGTAAGCAAAAGGGAGTCCTTCAGTATGGTAAGCACATGATGAAACTAGCATCTTAGTAAAACTACTCACCTGGTTGTATGCAAGATGCCATTTAGTGGAGAGAAAGTCATGAGATTTGTATTGTCCCAACGACAATCTGGTAAAGGTCTGGACTAAGGAAGTGGTGCTATGAATTGAGAAGAGAAAAATAAGTATTTTGAAGAAAATGCTTTGTTTCAGTGGTAATTTCATGTAAGGAATAAATCAGGAGTTAAAATAACTTACAGACTTTAAACATGTTTGTGAAAATGGTTAACCAAAATGGGAACTGTGGGGAACAGATTGGTTTAGGAGGGAAGTTATAAATTTGGTATTGACCAACCTGAATTTATGCTGATTTCCTTATATGGGAACTGTCCTAAAAGAAGCTGAACTAGGTTAGAAGTAGAGTTTTTTTTTTTTTTTTCTTTTTTGGTACCAAGAATCAAACTCAGGGCCTCATGCTTACTGCGCCGGTGCTGCACCGCTGAGCTCATCCCCAGGCCAAGACTAAAGTTTTAAGTGCAGAGTCACAGTGAAGAAAGTAAATGGTGATGGCATGTGCCTGTAATCCAGTATTCTGGGAGGCAGAAGCAGGAGGATCCCAGGTTTGAGCCTAGCCTGGACAATTTAATAATTTATTGACACCCTGTTTCAAAATAAAAAATTTTTAAAAGGCTGGGGAATGTAGCTTAGTGTAAAGGCCCTGGGTTCAATCCCCTATACCACAAAAATAAGTAAACCTAGTGTTGTGGCACATGCCTGTAATTCCAACAGTCAGGAAGGCTGAGGCAGTATAATCACAAATTCAAATCCAATCTGGACAATTTAAAGATTTATCAAGGCTAGGTGTGGTGGCAAATGCCTGTAATCCTAGACTTGCAAGGCTGAGGCAGGAAGATCGCTGCAAGTTTGGGGCCAGCCGGGGCTACAAAGTGAATTCAAGGCCAGCCTGAACTGCATAGTGAATCCCTGTCTCAAAAAGATCCACCCCTCAAAGACTTAGCAAGATCCTATCTCTAAATAAATAAGTAATTTTTATTTATTTATTTATTTTATTTATTAATTTTTTTTTGTCTTTTTGAGACAGGGTCTCACTGTGCAATTCAGGCTGGCCTTGAGCTCACTTTGTAGCCCAGGCTGGTCTCGAACTTGCAACGATCCTCCTGCCTCAGCCTCATGAGTGCTGGGATTACAGGCGTGCACCACCACGCCCATCATAAATAAGTACTTTTTAAAGGACTTCTTAAAGCTAAATGTGAACAGCTTAGGTTCAATCTTCAGTACCACCACCACCAAAGAAAGGTAAATGAACTCCACAGAGCCACTGGACACAGAAGACCAAAAAAACAGCGACAGTGCCTATAGTTAGCAGAATCAGGAAGGGGACTCCACCAAGAAAATGAAGACAGTGATTGGTGGGAAGGCAGGTGGATAGCCAAATTTGTCTTAAGGAGTCTAGAAGAGAGAGCTAATATAATCAACCAAAAGCTACCAAGAAGAGCTGGGCATTGTAGCACACACCTGTAAATCCCAGCACTCAGGAGACTGAGGCAAGAGGATCACAGCTAGTTCAAAGCCAGCCTGAACTACATAGTAAGATTCTGACTAGAAAAAACCAGCTGGGTGTGGTGGTGAACGCCTATGATCCTAGTGCTTGGGAGACTGAGGGAAGAGAATCACAAGTTCAAGCCCAGTCCAGGAAATTCAGCAATTTAGTGACATTCTGTCTAAAGGTAAAAAAAAATGAGTGGGGATGTAGCTCAATGCAAAAGGAGTATAGAGAAAAGTAGGTGTCATTAAATTGAGCTGGGGCCTCTCTGATATGGTCAAGGACAGCTGAAAAAACCCCTTAAGTTGATGGAGCAGGGGTTGGGTCTTTCTCTGAGACAGGAGGAAAGGGAAACGGAGGTTGGTGGAAAGCAGTGTTACCCCCGAGGGGCAAGGGAAGCAGTGGGAAGGCTGGCGCAGCCCGCAGCGGGGTCTATCTTTTAGCAGAGTCCAGATCCGAATTCAGCCGCCGTGTCCAGTCTGCTGAGTCCTGCCCCGCTCTTCTTGTCGTGGGCCCTCATCCAGGGAGGGATGTGTGTCTCATAGGTGAGTGTGTTGCCACTGGGCTGGGGGCTGTGATGAAATTGTTATGTCTGGCTAGTGTTTCCAGCCTGTTCAATTCTCAGCTGCTCAGAGATGGAAGAAGGAACATATTTAGAAAAATCTCATTATCTACCCTAAAAGAATTTGGGAGATGTGGCAAAGACTTCCATGATACAAGGCGCTCATTTGTCTGAACAGGGAGGAAAGCTTGAGGTCCTTCTAGCGCAGCTGACAGGTGGAGTAAGGAAGAAACCTCTCCAGGCCTCCTGGGTGCCAGGAGCCATCTGAGCTGGCTCTGTTCCAACCAAGTTTCAAGGCAGGGGCAAGAGCCAGAGGAAAAAATGGGTGGGTCCTCCCAGCTGCCAAAGTCCGGAGGCCAAGTTCAGAGGAAGCAGGTGGTGGTTCCCTGAGGTATGGGAGCTGTGGTGGTGGGGAGCTGTGTTACAAAGAAGGCATTTTAAGTTGGGATTCTAGGGGCTGGGGATTTAGCTCAGGCGCATAGGGCCTGCCTGGCAAGTGCGAGGTTGTGAGTTTGATTCCAAAAAAATAAGTTGGGATTCTAAGTAACTAGGGAGCTTGAAGAGATTTAGCCAGGAGAAGAAAAGGACAGGGCTTTCCCAGGAGGTAGTCTCAGCTCAGAATGAGATCTGGGGAGTTTTCATAGAGGTGGGAACCCTGCAGGGGCATACCAGGTCCCCTGACCCTCATTTTGTTTTGTTTTGTTTTGTTTTTAGGTGAGAGAAAGCCACTTCGACTCTATAGATGAGGGTTTCACAAGAGGAAATTTGAAGATAAAACAGGGGAAAGATTTATACGATCTGAAGAGAAACCAGAGTATGGAGGATAAAATAAAAAATATGCTGGATGTGGTGGCACAGACCTCTAACCTCAGCACTCAGGAGGCTGAGGCAGGAGGATCACCACAGTTTGAGACCTGCTTGGGGTACATAGTGAATTTAAGGCTGGCCTAAACTATACAGCGAGACCCTGTCTCAAAAAGCTAAAAATGAATAAATAAACAAAACAAGCTAGTTACGGTCTGTTTCTTAATGAGAGTTCTGTTGAAAGTCCCAACACTAAACGGGGCAGGGACTTAAGGACAGAAGGGGTCGATCAGAAAGGAAGTTAGGTGACAGCAGATTAGAAGGAACTGTACAGTGTGAATACATCTGGAATTTAAGTTAGAATGGAAAACACCTAGCGATGACAGGTGTATTCACATTTCCTAAAACCCAATAATTCTGTTGTTTTATTTTATTATATACGGTGTTGAAATTTTGTTTAGGAAAACACTATGGTTTATTTAGAAACCTTTTTTTCTTTTTATAAAAGAATCACACGATTAAATATGCGAAAAAAATAAAATAGTCACACCTCCCAACTTCCACCTATACCCTTTGCATTTGTTAATTATGGCAGAAATTAAAACAGAAGAGGCCGGGCATTGTGGCGTACACCTGTAATCCGAGCACTCTGGAGGATGAGGCAGGAGGATCATTGCGAGTTCAAGTCGTCTGGGCTACAAAGTGAGTTCAAGACCAGCCTGAACTGCATAGTGAGACCCTGTCTCAAAAGACCCCCCCCGACACACAAAAAAAGGAAGAAAAAAACCTAATCCTAACCGGACTGCCCCCTTGCAGCCCTCTCGGTGTCGCAGCCTCAACCAGACCACATTCCCTGGAAGCCGCTCTCTTCTCTATTGTTCTCTTTAAATACAGTACTGCAGTGGGGAAGACTAATAACGTCTGTAACTTTTGAGACTAAAAATTATGAATTTCTTCCCTCCTTCAAAGTCTTGCCAATCTTCTCCATGGGTTCAAGAAACTGGAGCTAGACAAAACCATAACCTAGCAGATGACAGACCTACCCTACCGTTCGCTGTGCTCAGAATCACAAAATTCAGGCGCACAGCGGAGAGCTCAGAACAGCCGCGTTCGGCGCTGACCTCTAGCGCCTCGGCTGCCGGCATCCGAGCGGGTAACGTGCGCTGCAGGTTACGTAAGGAAGGGGCTGGCGGAGCCGCCCCGGCGGGAGCCCGGGAGAGGACGCAGTGTTCTCGGCTGCAATCCCCACCCTCGCCCAGCAGGGCAGGAGGCACCCAACTTGGAGAAGTGAAAGAGAAGGGAGGGGAGGGTGAAACAGAGGCTAGGGAGTCACGAGGGCGGGGCCGCCGAGATAGGGGCGGACGCAGTGTTACCTCCCTTGCTCCACACACGTTGCAGACTTAGATTGCTGGCGAGTTCCACGTGCTGCGCTCGTGAGCGGAGGCGCTTAAAGTGGGGGCAGAAGCGGAGGTCCCCGGTCTCGAAGTACTCGCCTCCAGTCTTACCGCCATTGTCAGAATGCGCGAGCCGTGCGTTTCCCGCACATCATCATCCTATTTAAGGACATGGGTTCCGCCCTCTTCCGCCCCTTCCTTTCTCACTCTTTTTCCATCCTCCTCCGTTTCTCACCACCGGGTCCTCTCCCTGAGCCGCATGTAGGGGCGGGGCACGGAATGCTTCCCTTCCAGCCAATCATCACCTAGCTGCTCTTCTATTGGCCGAACCTCTCTGTGTTGTAGCAAATGGGCTGTGGACTTCAGTACTGAGAGTCACGTGTTGCCGGCTAGCCAACCAATGAGAGCATGAGATCTGTGTACGCAGGGGGAGGCACGTGCCGAGCCGCACGTGTCTAGGAGGGGGAAGGGGCGGGTCCTGCTGAGAGGCGGAGGTGGATAGCTGAGACTGGGAGAGACTGAAGAGCTGCAGACAGTTTGGGCTGAACTAGCTGATCAACACAGGTAAGGAGACAGAGAACGCAGATCGAGACGCTGGGGATAAATGGACCCAGGAAACGTGGATTTGGGGGACTGCATGCAGATTTTGTTTTTACGCGGGATTGCATCACCGGGCCGCCGCGCCTGTAGAAGGACCAGAGCAGGGATCGTGATCCTAAGACACTGAGAAGGGGCAGGATGCCGGTTTCTGGGGGGGCGGTTCCCACGGGGGCACTAGTGGGTTCTTGTGCGCAGATTTACCGCTTCCCGGTGGCGTAGTCTCAGCTAGAGGCACTCACTGTGGGGTCGGCCTGGGGAACAGCCCAGGTGAACAGCGGCCAGAGGGGAAGGTGTCAAGTCCGATACTGACTAAACCAAGGGAAGAAAAGACAGAGGCTGTGTCAGTGCAAGGGCTGCCTGCAGAGGCCAGAAACACCGTCCCAGTTTTTTAATAGGTGGAGACTGGGGAGGTGACTTTTTCTATTGTCTTCGTTGGGGAAAGGAAAAAGGTGTTACTCGTTGCAGTTCACCTGTCTCTCTGTCCGTTTCCTAATCCTTAGCCTATGCCTTCAAATTCCCTCCCTTTGCTCTTCAATTGCAGGTTCTGATCTTTGGGCACTCCAGCAGCTGTTCTCCAGCCCTCGCTTCTGGACCTATGGATTCTCCGCCTAGCGTTTCTTCTTGTTCCTCCTATTCTCTCTCTCCCTCTTTCTCCTCCTCTCCAGTGAACAGTGACTGTGGCTTCCTCTCTGATAGTGAGAGGGAGGAAAAGCGAGTCCAGGGGCCCAAGCCAGACACTGTTGGGCAGAGGGGAGGTTCCCAGGCCAGCCCAGGTCCCATCCGTTGCAGGCATCGATCCAAAGTTTCCAGAAACCAACATACAGCATCTCACCTGGAACAGCGAGGCCTGGCTTCTCCAATGGCAGGATCTGGGGTGAAAAGATCAAGAGACTGTGATTTGGAGGCCAATCTAAACGTTCAGGGTTGTACCACGGAGGGAGACCTGCTCTTTGCTCAGAAGGTAAGACAAAACAAGAGACGGTATTGGTTCCCAGATTTGGAGGTAGAGGAATTGATTCAGGCAATTTTAGGTCTTCTCAGAGCCTTTGTCCTGTTTTCTACAGTGTAAAGAACTCCAAGGATTCATTCGGCCCCTCACAGACCTACTGAATGGGCTAAAGATGGGTCGCTTTGAGAGAGGTAATTATCTGATTAGTTGCACTTTTCAGCCTGACTCTTTCTTCTGTGTTTTTTGTTTTGTTTTGTTTTGTTCTGTTCTGTTTGTTTTTTTTTTTTTTTGTTTTTTTGGAGACAGGGTCTCACTGTGCAGTTCCGGCTGGCTTTGAGCTCACTTTGTTAGCCCAGACTGGTCTCAAACTCGCAACAGTCCTCCTGCCTCAGTCTCCTGAGTGCTGGGATTACAGGTGTGTGCCACCACACCGGGCAGTAAAGGAAGCTGCTGTGTCTCTTTCAGATGTGTGTCTTTTAAGTCTGTCTGGAGCTTGGACTATTCCTTTCTTTCTTCTGTGACTTTAAGTGAATCAATTTTAACCCTTTTCAGTCATCCTTTTACCTGACTATATGTTGGACTCTCAATGCTTAATATCCCTCCCCCCGCCCACTGCACCCCCAGGACTGAGCAGCTTCCAGCAGAGCGTGGCAATGGACAGGATCCAGCGCATTGTAGGTGTTTTGCAGAAGCCAGAGATGGGGTAAGTCCCCTAGTTCTTTGCTCAGTATCTCATAAGGAGCTGTTTCTAGTCCTGTCTTGATTCTTTTTTCACACACTTACTGAGTTGGTTTTTTTGTTTTTTTTTTTTAATGTCCTTTACACAGGGAGCGTTACCTAGGAACTCTGCTACAAGTGGAAGGGATGTTAAAGACTTGGTTTCCTCATATAGCTGCCCAGAAGTCATCACTGGGTGGTAGTAGGCATCAGGTGACCAAGGTAAGAACTTATAAACCTGAGGACTGGGTGGGAGAATAACCAAAGAAATGCAGTGTTCATGCAGAAATCTGCGCCCCCCCCCAACCCCCCCACCCCCGTTTCCATTTTCTTCTGGATCTTCTACTCAAGTTTCCCTTCAGGAAAGGGAATGCCTAAACTTTTGCTACTGTCTCAATTCCTAGATGCATCTTATTCTGTTTTGTTTGGATCACTGAGCAGAACTCCATGAAATTTACTCATATTCCTAGTGTTAAGCTTATCTGGTTTCTGCATAGATACAAAGCTTTTTACTTAGCCAAATGATTGAAGCAGAAAGATGCCTCACCTTTCTTCCTTGCTGCCCTTAAAACTTCTCCTCTCTTCTGTTGATCCTTATACCAAACCCACTGGAGGTCTCTGAGTCTATCATGCATTTCAAGTACTAGTTATAAGGGATACATCACTGGGAGTTAGGGAGGAGGCACACAGGGGGCATCTACAGGGAGGAGTTTGATAGATTCTTAAACTGGATATGGAAGTGACCTATTTTCTGTCCCTTCAAGTAATACAGTATTTAGAAGGTATTCAGTTAATGAGGTGGGGAGGTGGGGGAGTCTTTATTCCTGTCTTCCAAGTTGCACAGCTATTAATGCTGTGAAAATTATTGATGAAAAATGAAGCAGCAAGCTGGGCATGGTGGCACACGCCTGTAATCCCAGTACTTGAGAGGCTGAGGCAGGAGGATCATTGCAAATTCAAGACCAGCCTGGGCTACAAAGTGAGCTCAAGGCCAGCCTGAACTGCATAGCGAGACCTTGTCTCAAAAAGACAAAAAAAAAAAAAAAAAAGAAAGAAAAAATATGAAGCAGCAGAGGCAGACATGGTAGCACATGCCTGCAATCTCAGCATTCTGGAAAGCTGAGGCAGGAGGATTGCAAATTCAAGTGTAATCTGGGTAATTTAGTGCTTTTTTTTAAAAAAAAAAAAGAACTCTTTGGGCCAGTGGCACAGTGCTTGCGTGGCAAGCATGACGTCCTGAGTTCAATTTCTGGTACCAAAAAAAAAAAAAAATTATTTTTTTAAATGGGTTGGGAATGTAGCTTAGTGTACAGGCCATAGGTTCAATTCCTAGTACCTTAAAAAAAAAATAATGTTGCCTGCATATTAATTTGTACTTCATGAAGAACTTGATAGGGAAAATTAGAATGTAAAATACAAAAATTACTGGGCATAGTGGTGCACACCTGTAATCCCAGCACTCAGGAGGCTGAGGCAGGAGGATCATTGCAAGTTTGAGACCAGCCTGGGCTACAAAGTGAGCTCAAGGCCAGCCTAAACTGCACAGTGAAACCCTGTCTCAAAAAGACCAAAAAAGAAAAAAATTCTGTTGCAAAAAAAAAAAAAAAAAGAAAAGAAATTACCTGTTGCACAAAATAAGGTAAGTTTGCATTGCAAACTGAGTCTCCAAAGAAAGCAAAGGTATAAAGAAGCAGGAAGACCTAATCTGAAAGCTTTCTTCTTAGATTTTTTTTTTTTTATTTCTCCCCCTCCCTAGCATTTTCAAAACCACCACAGTGATTCAGCTGCTTCCTGTCCTGTACCTCCTATGGGAAAGATGGACCAGACAAAGCTAGGACATTTAGTTTTGAAATCAAAGCAGCCTTGGCACCTCTCAGAGTGGCCAGCCATGAACCTTACCTGGATCCACACTGCTCCAATTTGCAACCCTCCTCTTGGTTCCCCAGGTACCATTTCCTTTAGCCAGGGTCCTTTAGGCGCTGGAACCAGCATTGGCCTCATCCTTTTCCTCCAGCATGGAGAGCAGCCCTTTACCCACTCTGCCCCAACCACTCCAGTCCCACCTACTACAGCATCTTCTGTCATCCTTGGTGATCCTAAGAAACTGTCTGGAGAGGGGCCTCGCTGCCGCAGTTTGCCCATAGCTCTGCCGTCAGACTGGAGCTGCAAGCTGTGCCCTCCTGATGCACCCACCACAGCCAGAGAGGTGAGCATGGGACACCTGGAGCAGCAAATGAGATGCCATTCTCCGGTTGCTCCGGCTGCCCATTTCCTAAGCCCCTGACCCAGGCCGTGTGACTGCCACTCTGATTTTCAATTTGTGTAAATAGACGTATGTATATTTTTTACTTTTAATGTGTGTATTAATGTTGGGAAGATAAATCCTTTCTGATTAAAGAAACTTTTTACCTAAACATTTTGCTCATTGGAGTAAATTGACAACTTTACCAATCTGGAGTGTCTGAGCTCCAGGAAAGGGGAGTGTCGATGAACATGAGTTCCACCACATTACAGTCTGAATGAAGTAAAGGAATTCTTTTTTTTATTTCTGGTACCTGGAATTGAACTCACGATCTTGCGCTTGCCAGGCAGGCGCTGTGCCACTGAGTTAACTCCCCAGCCCAGTAAAGGAATTCTTGTGGCTGTTTTTTAGGGAACATGGTTGGGACAGTTACCGGGTTCAGAATTGAGTTTACTTTTTTGTTTGGGCTCAGAGACTAGTACCTTTCCCTTTGTGTTTCTCCCCCATGTAATCTTCCAGCTGGCCCAGACTAGCAGGTTCTTCTGCTCTGGGACAGCTCTTTGCTTGATGGGAGCTGTTGATGCTTGTAGGTGAATGTATATGTAACCTGCTGCCAAAGGAGAGGCACAGAGCCAAAACGGCCGCTATGGTTGCCCATTTTTAAGAGGGAGGGGAACCTCGGAATTACCAGAGTTGGGGTCCACTGCAGGGAGACTGAAAACACTGGGCTTCATCCTTATTCAAAAAGCTGTGGGTGGAGCTGGGGATTTAGCTCAGCGGCACAGCACCTGCCTGGCAAGTGCAAAGTTGTGAGTTCGATTCCCGGTACCGGAGGGGGAAAAAAAAAAAGCTGCAGGTGCTAGCTGCATGCTAGACTACAGAGGGCTACCCAGGGATAACAAAAAGCAAGTTATGTCCACGAATATTTTTTGTCCCAGTTTTCACCAAAACCATTTCCTCTCCCACCCAAAGCCTTCATAGTGTATCACGCTGTTGTCATCTTAGTCATTGTTCACTGGCTCCTTAGCATGTTTCTCACAGCTAGTCAGACATCTTTCCCCCACTTCTCTTCTCTGTTCTCAGTGAATAATTGCCACCTTCCTTTATGTCTAAGAATATGACCTCCTTTCCCCAGAAAGCCTCTCTATTTGTGCTTGATTGCCTTTTACTTCTGAAATTTGCTGTGTCATGTATCCCTTCTTTATCTTCTTACTTCTACTTGTTCCCCATAAGAATTCTCCCAATATATGTGATCAGGCTTTTCCGCCTGGTAAACACCTCCGGAGACTGATTACCCTTTGTCTACTTTTCTCCATAATTCTTCCCTGCCCCTCCAGTGCTGGGGATGGACCCAGGGTCTCTAGGATGCTAGACCAGTGCCTTCCCCCTGAGCCACGCTGTCCGGGTGCCCTGCATAATTCCTGACAGGTCTGATTCCTTTCACCATGAAACCCTTAAACCATTGCAAGCTAGCTTCAATTGCCCTCACTTGGTGACCATCCAAAGTCACAAATAGTCCTACAGAATCAGTGTAATGTAACTTCCACCTAATCAACATCAAAACCAGGGACCTTTACAAAGGCTATATGCATTCTCTGCTCTCTGTATCATCTGACACTGATGCTTCCTACTGACCTCTACCTGGGATCCCATGACAGCACACTCTCCCAGTTCTCCTTTTACCTAACGCAGCAGCTTCTAGGTCTCTCAGTGTCCCCACTTCCCCCTACTCTAGAGTGTGGGTGTTCCCTTAGGCTCTGGCCTTGGGCCTTTTCTCTATCTTCTGTCATAGGGAAATTTTGTTTTCTTTCATGCCTTAAAGTATTGCCCTAACTTAGATGCTGCTACATCCTCATCGCTAGTGCCAGCTTTTTCCCCTGAAAGTGCATACTGCACATAAAAATCTTTGCTGGATGGTATTTTTGTTTTGTACCAGGAACTGAACTAAGGACCTTGCGCTTACCAGGCAGGCACTTGTGCTGCTCAGCTATATCCCCGGCCCTATATTGGGTGGTTTTATTTCTATTCTCTGACACAAAATTACTGAAATTTCAGCATTTTAGAGGCAAGATGTACTTTTTGTATTTAATTTAACCCAGCCCCTTCATTTCAAAGGTAAGAAAACTTAGGTGATTTGTCCAAGCCAACACTGTGGTACAGAACTCTCAGTTTCCAGTCTAGTGCTTTGTCCAATGATCAGCAATAAAATGCTTTAAACATGTCCCGCTCCCCCTTCTTACACTCTCTTCTCTTTGCTCTACATGATACCAACATTTTCCAGATACCTAAGTTTAAAACTTGCTGCTACTCAGATACGAAATCCTTCTTACTCTTTTCTTACATGACTCTTAAAGTCCATTTCTTTCTACCCACCTTACCACCACTTTGGTCTAGATATTTACTACAGACTCTTACCTCTAATGCCCTCTCTCTAATAACCACATTAATTTTCCTAGAATAGGACTTTATGTATCACTCTCTACCCAAATTCTTCAGTGGCTCTCCAATGCTATGGAAGGAAATCAAAATATTTAGTCGTGGTCTCTAATTTCTCCCTCTTCCCCCCCTGCATGAGCCTTCTAGTCCAGTGTTTATTATTTTATTTTATTACTGAGATGGAGTCTCACTATGCAGGCTGACCCCAAGTTTGCAATCCTGCCCAGTCTTCTGAATGAGATTAGAGGTATACGCACCACAGTGCCCACTTATTATAGTTTTTTGTTTAATTTTGACAGTACTGGGGGTTGAACCCAGAGCCTTTTCACTGAGCTACTTCCACATACCCGCCCCCCTTTCTTTTTGAGACAGGTCTCCTTCTCTGGCTAAGTCACCCAGGCCGGGCTCAAACTCACAATCTTCCTGCTTCAGTCCCAGAGTGCTGGGACTACAGGCATGTGGTTAGGTGACTGCTGAATCTTCATCGCTAGTCCTGACCTGACCTGTTCCCTGAGAAGGCACACTGAACATAAAAGTATCTGATGGACAGTTTTATTTTTATTTTACTATTTATATATGCCCAGCTTCCAGTTTTTTAATTCATCCCCAAATCCTGTGAGCTTTTTTTTGCCTCAAAACCTGTTCATGCTATTTACTTTGCCCACCCTTTTCTGTTTCTGCTAGCTAAATCATACACTCCATTCCATAACTAACTCAAGTCTCTCTCCCTATCATTCTTGCTGTTAAACATGCTATACAGGCTTAGTCTTTGGCTTTTAATGCCACCATCCAATGGGATCATGTACATAAAATACCTAGTGCAGGCTCTCAAAAATGTCACATTCCCTGTCCCTTTCTTTGAAAGTATCTATGTTTTGTCACATTTGACTCTCACAACAAATTTTGTGAGGTCAATAGGGCAGATATTAGTGCCATTTTACAGATGAGGAAACAGACTGAGAGTTTTAAATCTGGCAAGAGCCAGATAATAATTTTTTAGGCTTTGTTGGACATATATCTCTGTTCCCTCTACGCACTTCCACCATTGTTGCCCAAAGCAGAGACATCTTAATAAGCAAAAGAGTATAACCATGTTCTGATACTATACAAAAACAGGTGGACCTGGAAAAATTCACTTTTGAATTCTCCCTACTCTCCAAAATAACTGTCTGTCATCTCTCTCTTCCTCTTTACCTATCTTCAAATAAATTGTCTTCTTTTATTTTTTTAAAAAAGGGTTGACCAGCAGGCAATAGTTTGCAGAGTACTGGTTCAAGGTCATAGGCCTAATGAGCATCAGAATTGGGATAAAGCCAAGTATGGTGGCGCATGCCTATAATCCCAAGCCTTAGGAGGCTGAGACAGGAAGACTGCAGCAAGGCGGAGGCCAGCCTGGGCTATATAGTGAGTTCAAGTCAGCCTGAACTACATAGAAAGACCCTTTCTCAATCACCATCCCCCACAAATAATAATGATAAAGGAATAGAATCTAGACCTCCCAACTTCCAATCCAGTGTCCCTTCAGTATATCATACTGTTGTCTATATAACTTACTTTGCATTTATTATATGCTATGCTGTTTTAGCTACATAATCTTTTATGTCTACTTACTGTCTTCTCCTGGTACAAGAGGCATTGGAATTCTATCATTACTACCAGGCACAGAGTAAGATTCAATAAAAGTTTGTTGATAAGCATAATAATGTCCCAGTCTGTCTGTAGGTTGGTAATTTGGACCTAGCTGAAGCTTAGTGTGAGCTCCTCTTAGCATAACTGATAAGGATGCTCCTGGGTGCTTATCAGGGCAGCTACATCTTCTCATAGTTACTAGTTTTTTTGTTTTGTCTTTTTGGTACCTGGAATTGAAGAGAGGCACTGTCCCCATCCCTCCCATAGTTACTAGATCTGAACTTACGTGATTAACCATAAATGACTATGTAGAAGTAGCATCCAAATAAAAGGAAGGCTGTCTCCACAGTGTGAAATAAAAAAGGCAGTTATTTTTACCAGGTCTTACTAGGAAGTAAAAGGCAAAGTTGACATAAAAGTCTTTGATTCTAGTCGGGCGTGGTGGCACACGCCTGTAATCCCAGCACTTGGGAGGATGAGGCAGGAGGATCATTGTGAGTTCGAGACCAGCCTAGGCTACAAAGTGAGCTCAAGGCCAGCCTGAACTGCATAGTGAGACCCGGTCTCAAAAAGGCAAAAAAAAAAAAAGTCTTTGATTCTAAGACCTGTAGCCATGTCCCTGTCTTTTTTTTTTTTTAACCTTTTTAAGACAGGGTTTCACTATGCAGCTCAGGCTGGCCTTGAGCTCACTTTGTAGCCCAGGTGGGCCTCAAACTCACAGTGATCCTCTTGCCTCAGCCTCCGGAGTGCTGCGATTACAGGTGTGCGTCACCACACCCAGCGTAGCATGTCCCTGTCTTTAGTGATCTCAGTTTATTTAGTGAAATTACTACAAGGATGATGCTGTAAGAAACTGACTGCCGGGCATGACACACCCTATAATCCCACCACTCATGAGCCTGAGGCAGGAAGATCACTGCGAGTTTGAGGCCAGCCTGGGCTACAGAGTTCAAGGCGAGACTGAACTGCAGAGCGAAGTTTCAAAAAAGACCACCCTCCAAAAAAAAAAGAAGGAGAGGAAGAAGAAGAAATTGACAGCATGTTAATTTCATCCATCTCCTTAGTTGGTAGGCAGATTAGGAATGTGAGGCTGACTTTCGCCCAGGGCACAGATCTGTAACCTTTCCAAAGGAAAACAGGAAGCATGCTCTAGAAGCTTTGCCTATTCTGTCATTTTCCATCCAGAAAAGGAAATAGCTTAAATATCTACTAGGGGTTTAATAGGATTAAGGGTATGGAATGGGGCTGACCTCAGAGGCCGAAGGACTGCGATTCCCTGGGAAGACTTGTTTCGGCAGGATTTGCATCAGCGACTATTTTACTTTGTTAGGTGCAGAGTCCAGGCCCGGGGGCAAAAAGAGGAGAACACCGAGGCCAGAAAGAACGTTGCCATGGTTTCCAAACCCTGTGCGGCCTCCCTTCAGCTCCGGCTTCGGTGAGGCTCTGGGGCTTCCGTAGTTTCCGCTTCCGGTCTTGGGCAGGCTGTGAGTCCGCTGAAGCCTGAGGGCGGCGGTGAGAAATCCCGGGCTAGGGAGGAGAGGTGGGTAGTGAGAACGTTTGTGCGCTATTTTCCTTTCCTAAAGCCCGACAAAGACTCCTTTCTCAACTCGCAGCCCAGCCCTTTCTCGTGCAATGAACAGTAGTTGAGACCCTGCAGCGCGGCTCTGCTTCTTCCGTCCTCCCGGGTCCGGCGGTGCAAGCCTCGCGGGTGAAACTAGCGACTTTCTCTTTTCTTCCATGTGCTCGGGCTTGTGCTAGCAAAGAGAACAGGGGAGTCCCGTACTTTCTAAGACCTGAAGACCTGCACGTGCCCTGTCTCGCGTGTCCCTGAGCACTTTCCATTTTCAGAGTTGACTGAAACGCGCAGTAACGTGTATGTATTTTATTGTTTCAGTTTTTTACCCGATCCTTGCGTAGGTCCTGCAGAGTGGAGACTTAAATCGGAGATCATGGCAAGACATCTGAAGTTCATTGCCAGGACTGTGATGGTACAAGATGGGAACGTGGAAGGTGCATACAGGACACTGAACAGGTGACTGGCCATTCTCTTCTGCCCCGTCATAGATTGTTCTCAAACTGGTGCCAACCCAGGCGTTTAGTCTCTGAAACTTCTCAGCCCTTCCGTTTCTTTTTTCTTTTCTCTTCTCTTTTTTCTTTCTTTCTTTCTTTTTTTTTTTTTTTTTTTTTTTGGTCTTTTTGAGACAGGGTCTCACTATGCAGTTCAGGCTGACATTAAGCTCACTTTGTAGCCCAGGCTGGTGTCAAACTTACAGCGATCCTCCTGCCTCAGCCTCCCGAGTGCTGGGATACAGGTGTGCGTCACCACGCCCGGCTTTTTCAGTTTATTTTCTTGAAAATAAAGTTCTTGCACGGCGTGATGGCAACTACCTGTAATCCAAGAACTCTGGGAGGCTGAGGTAGGAGGATTGAAAGTTCATGCCTAGCCTAGGCAATTTAGTGACTTTGTGAGAGTCTACCTCTGAATTGAAAACAGGATAGGGCTGTCCTCTCCAAAATAATCCTTCTGAAACCTAACTTCATGATGTTTATTCAACAAGCAATCACCATTTCCTTTTTTTTTGGTGCTGGGAATCAAACTCAGGACCTTTTGCTTGCCAGGTGGGTGCTGTACCACTGAGCTATATCCCCGGCCCAATCATCGTTTCCTTAATGATGAACCTGACTTCTGTCCAAGACTTAAAAGAGTCCAGAAGACAAATTAAAGTGTGAAGTTGCTCGAAAGCAGGAACGTAGCGCACAGTAAATAACTGAGGGAGCCTTGGGAAACAAGGGTAATGGAAAAGATGAATTCAGATTGACCTCCTAGGGAAATGAGCAAGAGATGGGACAGCATTACAAGTTGTTTTAGGCTTTTTGAGGCGGGGTTTCCCTGGGTAGTTCAGGCTGGCCTCAAACCCACAGCGATCCCCCAGCCTTAGCCTCAGCTTCAGCCTCCAGAGTGCTGGAATTACGAGAGTTGGCTACCACCCCTGGCCAGCACTACAAGATTTGAGAAAGGTTAAGGAAAATACATAAATGGAAGTAAACTAGGTGGAATGGAAGGGTTATATTGAAAAGTTTGGTTTTGTTGTTTTGTTTTGTTTTTGCAGTGGTAGTGACTGAACTCAGGGCTTGGTACATGCTAGGCAAGCATTATACTACTGAGTTTCATCCCCAGCCTGAAAGGTTTTTGAACACTAGGCTGCGAGATACAGAAAAGCTCTACTAATGCCTTACTATTTTAATTTCTCAAGCAACAATTTATTTTTTTTAAGGCTGTAAGAAATATTTCACTGGGTCAAGGCATCCCGTTACAACCATGTTTTACTCTACAAACTCATCAAAATGTGATACACAGCCGGGCGTGGTGGCGTATGCCTGTAGTCCCAGCGCTCAGGAGGCTGAGGCAGGAGGATCTTTGGGAGTTCGAGGCCAGCCTGGGGTACAAAGTGAGCTCAAGGCCACCCTGGACTGCATCGAGAAACCCTGTCTCAAAAAGACAAAAAAAAAAAAATGTGATACACAATACTCTGCAAGGCAGAATTGTAAGATATTGCTCAAGTTCCTGGCTCCTAGTGAGCCACATACTGTGGAATACTTTCCCCTGGAGTGTGGGCAGGACCTAGGAATATGAGGGGCTATCATTTTCATGAAGAAGGAGATCATCAGACATCATCTTATCTAGTTAGATGAGTCCTTAAAAGGGATTGAGGTGTCTCCAAAGTCAGAGAAACTGGAACTATAAGAAGGCCTACTGGGGGCTGGGGATGTAGCGCAGTGGCATAAGCACCTGCCTGGCAAGCGCACGGTCCTGAGTTCGATTCCCAGTACCAAAAAAAAAAAAGAAGGCCTACTGGGCCAGGGATATAGCTCAGCGGTACAGTGCCTACCTGGCAAGCACAAGGTCCTGAGTTCGATTTCTGGCACCAAAAAAAAAAAAAAAAAAGGTGGCCTACTTAGCAAACATTAAGATTGACCTCCTAACAATAGCTAGCAACATAACAGGGACCTCAGTCTAGCAACTCGAAGTCTTTGAGGACATCAAACCTTAGATGTGATCCTGCTTGCATGCTTTCTGATTTCTGCCTGTGAAACACTAAGAGCACACACCTATGCCCTCCGCAGACTTCTTTCTTGCAATACTTAGGTAATAAACAGGATTTTTATTTGTTTTTCGTTTTTTGTTTATTTGATACACGGTTTCACTATGCAGTTCAGGCTGGCCTTGAACTTACTTTGTAGCCCAGGCTGACCTCCAATTTGCAGTGATCCTCCTGCCTCAGCTTCCCAAATACTGGGATTATAGATGTGCACTACCATCCCTGGTCTGTTTTTTTGGTTTCTGGTTTTTGTTTTTTTGGGATTTCTTTGTTCTTTTTGAGACAGGGTCTCGCTCTGCAGTTCAGGCTGGCCTTAAGCTCACTTTGTAGCCTAGGCTGGTCTTGAACTTGCAGTGATCGTCCTGCCTCAGCCTCCCGAGTGCTGGGATTACAGATGTGCACCACCATGCCTGGCTGCCTGGTCTGTTTTTAAACTATCAATTTATGGTAATTTGATAGCCAGCAATAGAAAACTAATACACTCAGGTATTTCTTATATAATTAACAGTATGCCTGGTAGACACTAGTTTTTCAAAGTTCATTTTTCAAGTAATTTTTTTTGTTAAGTAACAGTTTTCCAGTTCTTTTCACCAGTTGTAAGGAGTTTGGTTTTCCGGCATGCCCCACTCATCATTTTCTCTTCTTAGTATAAAGCAGAGTTTGAGAAACAAGTGTGTATAGAACTAAATTATCAAAACATTGTAGGAGAGAGATCTTGACATTATATGGGCTTGCCCTCCACTTTAAGGCTTTAACTGTGGTAGATTTAGTTTACAAGTAAGGGAACTGGGGGTGTAGTTCAGTGGTGGAGAGCTTAGCTAGCATGCACAAGGCCCTGGGTTCAATCTCCAGCACTGCAAAAAGGAACAGATAAAATGAAATGAAAAATACTTTATTTTTAAAAAGTATAAGTAAGGAAAGCCTACAAATATTAAATAATGCATCTCACCTCATGCAGTTATTGGTTGGTATAGAGTGGTGATGGTGAGCCTTCCAGTTTCCAGTGTTACAAACCATACTGTAACACATGTGCCACTGACCCACTACCACTAGCGTACAGAAACATAAAAGGGCACATCTTTTTAGTGCAGTATTCTGTGCCCTATGTTTTGAATTATTTACTAGTTTTTCTGGTAAGGGAACAACTTATGATAGTCATTTCACAGTATATATAAGACTTCATGCTTTTTTTCTGACCTCTCTCTGTAAGCCTCTCTCTGCTTTATTTTGGTGAATTTAGATGGGTCAGAGTGGTTGGTAAGTACTGTTATTTATGGCTATGTGTGGCTGTGTGTGTGTGTGTGTGTTACTGAGGAACCCAGGGCCTTACATATGCTAGGCAAGTGCTCTACCACTGAGCTACACTCCCAACTGATATGTTTATGTATTGAGGGTTATCAAAAGGCAGCAGTTACTTGGTGGGAAAACAGATTTCCCAAAGTTTAGATTTGGCTTCTACCTCCCCTATTTCTGAAGCACAAGTAATAAAAAAAACAAGAATTTTGTTTGTAGACTACTAGCAGCTTTGACAAAAAACAATTTGTGATGCAGCATTGTTACAGAACTTTCTTTCCTCTTTTTTTTCTTTTTCTTTACTGGAGATTGACCCCAGGAGCACAGAGCTACATCCCAGACCCCAGCTCCTTTTATCTTTGAGAAAAGAAAGTAGCTACAGGTTTAATGCTTTTGTTCAAGCCACAGCCTGAAAATAGTTTTCTAACACAAATGAGGTAGCATGACTTAGCTGTTAGGAGCACAGACTGTTTTTTGTTTTTGTTGGTTTTTTTTTTTCATAGACTGTTTTAGATCCCAGGTCTGACACTAGTGTCATGGAATCCTGTCTCTCTGTCTCAGTTTACTCATATATAATGTAGAACTTATTAATAGTACTTACCTCTGAGGGTTATTAGTTGATACATATAAAGTGCTTAAAACTGGGTTTGATACATAGCATGTATTAGCTGTTATCCCAATTTGGAACTCACTGTAAGGAAATTTTTACCCTTTTGACTTTATTTTGTGGGTGACTGATTCTGAGAGATTGAGAGTTTTTCTTTTTTTTTTGAGACAGAGTCTTCCTATGTATTTTAGACAGCCTTGAACCTGGTATGTAACTGGCCTCAAACATGCAGCTATGTAGGCATGGGCCATATGCCCGACTGAGAGTTTTCTTCTTTCTTCCTGGACTATCAGATTATGCACAAGATAGCCCAGGGATTGAAAAAAAAAAAAAGCTAGAGAAAATAATTGTTAAACAATTTTGACATGAGGATCAATTTACTATTGGTATTGGAATGAATTTTCTTATAGACTGTGATATTTTCCAACTAAGTCTTCTATTTCACCTGTTTTTTTTTTTTTTTTTTTTTTTTTTGTGAATCGAACTTTTTTTTTTGCGGGGGGGTGGGGGGCTCGCTTTGCAGTTCAGGCTGGCCTTGAGCTACTTTGTAGCCCAGGCTGGTCTTGAACTCAAAACGATTCTCTTGCCTCAGTCTCCCCAATGCTGGGATTACAGGCGTGCGCCACCACGCCTGGCTATTTCACCTATTGCTAACCTCATTTTATTTATTTATTTATTTTTTTTTGAGACAGGGTCTCACTGACCTCAAACTCTCAGTGCTCCTGCTGCCTCAGCCTCCTGAGTGCTGGAATTACAAGCATGTGCCACCAGGCCCAGCTTACCTCATTTTAAAATAATATTATTTCCTTTGTGCATCTTATTGCATATGTGGGATGTTTTCCCAATTCCACTTTGGAAAGAGCCTTTGTCTGGGATTGTTATTGTTGTAGAACTGTATCTCTGTCTACCTACCTGTTTTAAAATTCTTATATAACCAGTATCTTTTGTACTCAGTAGTAGGTTGTTGCTTTTATTTTTTCTTTGTTTTTCATTTTACCTTAAACCCTTCCGGATGCTAGTACAAGTGAGTGG